CAAGCTCAAAGAGAGAGGGCTTACAGTGCAATATTGGGATAAAGTTTGTAGCAAATCTTATAAACCCCCACCTTAATTTTCCAAGTAGTTGCATCACAGTCCACACTCTTACCCTCAAAGTACACGGCATTTCTCAACTTCCAAATATGATGTATGGTGCTCAATGCTGTTAATCTCCAAATATTTCTCAGGTTGCCATGCACTCTATGCCTTCCAAGAAGCCATTTGATGACTCTTTCAATAGTTGAGAGTGCATAAGGAATTTTGAGCCAATCTTTCACATTCTTCCAAATCTAGTGGGAGGCAGTGCAAGCAAAGAAAAGGTGATCAGTGGTCTCAAGTTCTTGTCCACAGAGGCTACAATTCCTATCCTCCATGGGAATAAATCCCAGATTCACCTTTGTTGATAATCTCCTTCTAATGGCAAGCCAGGTTGTAACAGAGAATCTGGGTGGAATGTAGCTTTGCCAAATCATTTTCATGCAGGGTTTGGGAGGCAAATGGACTCTCAATAAATCATACACCTTTGCTGTGCAAAATTCTCCATCTACAAGGAGGTCATCCCAATCCACTTCTTGATACTGATCAGTACCAAGCTTCTGGGCTAGATTGTTTCTCACTTCTGCAAGCTTTTTGAAGAAGTGTGAATCCCCATGTTTAGGGATCCAAGCCCAAATATCTCTGTCCTGAAGGTAGACACTGTGAACCCACTGAACCCAAAGGGTTTCTTTTCTTGAAGCAATGTTCCACAGGTTTTTAGCCATAAGTGCTTGATTCCAGACTTCTGAATTCCTAAGCCCAAGTCCCCCTTCCTCCTTTGGTTTGCAAATATCATCCCAAGCCACTTTGTAGAATTTGTTTCCCCAAAGGAAGGTTCTGCAGATGGAGGTGATCCTGTTAAGGACAGATTTATGGATGGGAAAAGCTTGAAGCAAAAAACCTTCTATCCCTTGGATAACACTCCTAATAAGTTCAGCTCTTCCAGCAATGGTCAAAGTTTTTATGTTCCATCTTCTTACATTATCATCAACAGTTTCAATCAATGGTGCAAAGTCCCTCTCTGATGCCCTTTGTGAAATGAGTGGTAACCCCAGGTATTTAACTGGTAAAAGTCCTTCAGGGAAATTCACCAAGTTGAGGATATGCTGCTTGTTTCCTTTGATTTGCCCTGCCAAGTAAATATTTGATTTCTGTGCATTGACATGGAGGCCTGAGACAGAGGAAAAGTGCTTCAAGGCATCAGCAAGGACTTGGACAGATTCTTTGTCCCCTCTGGAGAACATCATGATGTCATCAGCAAAGGCAATGTGTGTTATCTTCAGTGAGGAGCATTTAGAATGGAAGTTAAATCTCCTCTCTCTTGTCATTCTTTTCAGAAGTCTAGAGAGGTATTCCATGCAGAATAAGAACAAGGTAGGTGCCATGGGGTCTCCTTGTCTGATTCCTCTTTTGCACTTGATGAAGCCATGAATTCCCCCATTCAAAGATAAGGAAAAGGATGCAGAAGATACACATTCCATTATCCAATGAGTGAACTTAGTAGGGAATCCAAGGCCAGTCATAGTATTCTTCAAAAACTCCCAAGAAATAGTGTCATATGCCTTGGTTATATCCACTTTAAGCATGCAGCAAGGAGGGCTTCTTTTTCTGCCATACCCTCTAACCAAGTGTTGTGCCAGCAATATGTTGTCCACCAGACTTCTCCCACCCACAAAAGCAGACTGTGCTTGATCAATGATTTCAGGAAGTATGTGACTCATTCTGTTGGACAGAATCTTGGTGATGACTTTGTAGATAATATTGGAGCAGGCTATTGGTCTAAAATCCCTAACAGTAGGGTTCACTTTCACTTTAGGGATCAAGGCCACAATAGCATGGTTGAGTTGTTTAAGAATTCTCCCACTAATAAAGAATTCAGACACTGCTTCATACAGATTATTTCCAACAATATCCCACTTTTCTTTGAAAAAAGCAGAGGTGTAACCATCAGGGCCAGGGGATTTGTTATTCCCAATAGAAAATAGTGCATCCCTAACCTCTTCAATAGTCACCTTTCTGATGAGGTTGTTAGCTGCATGGTTGGGGATGAGAGGGCCCTCTTCAAAAACATTCCAAGCAACAGGTTCAATGGGGACAGTGGTTCCAAAGAGATTGGTAAAGTACTCAATAAATTCCTTTTCAACCTCCTCCAAACTGGTGGTGATTCTCTGATCAGCTGTAAGAATGAAGGGGATGGCACTGCTATGATTCTTTTTCCTCATCAGGGCATGGAAAAATTTGGTGCATTTGTCCCCCTCAAAGAGTAGTTCACACTTAGTCTTCTGTTGGAAGAAGGATCTTTCAGCATCCATGAAGAAACTGGCTTTGTTTCTGAGTTCAACACTTCTGGACAGAAGGGAAGGATTCTCAGGTTCCAGGATCAGCTCCTGCATGAGATGGCTATACTCCTTTCTAGCAGATTCAGCTCTCTGAGAAATATGGCCAAAATGTTGTTTATTCAGAAGCCTCAAAGGTTGTTTCAGTTTTTTGAGTTTGACACATAATCTGTACTGCCTTGTACCATTGACCCATTGGTTCCAATTCTCCCTGATCACCATATCAAAATTATCATGCTTGAGCCAGATGTTGTAAAACTTAAAAGGCCTGGTTCTCTGGTTCTGAATATTTATAAGTTTCAGCAACACTGGGCAGTGGTCAGAGATTGCCTCCATGTCTCTAAATTCAGCCCAGCAGTCCCATTGCATATTTTCCCATTCATCATTGACCAGAACTCTGTCTAGTTTGGCCCATTTTTCACCTTTGTTCCAAGTAAATTCCAGCCCTGATGAGTTAGCATCATTCAGGGCATTGTTGATTCTGAATTGTCTGAGATCTGTCATGTAATAGGCACTCTGGGTTTGGCAGTTCACTCTTTCAGTAGAGCTAATAACTGCATTGAAATCCCCCATGACAGCCCAAGGGCCACTGAGATCACCTGCAATGTTAGTCAAAAAATCCCACAACCCCCTTCTGGCAGTAACACAGTAGAGGGCATAAACAAAAGAAACATAAAAACTCCTTTGAGAAATGAGGCACTTGATCTTACAATGCATAAGTTGGTCAGTGACATGAATAATAGTGCACTCCACAAAGGAAGGATTCCAAAAAACTGCCATTCTCCCATCATCAATAAGATCAAAATTATGCGAAAAGCTCCATGATGGGAGTTTGTTTTTAGCAAAAAGGTTAAGTTTGGCAGTATTCATTTTTGTTTCTAAATCAAAAAATAACTTGACATCAAGTTCAAAAAGGTATTTACACAAAAAGTTTTGCTTAGAGGCCTTGCCAAGGCCTCTAATATTCCAACAAAGTACCTTCATCAACGGTAAGGGCCATAGCCCCTTCCTCTTCCTCTGTTTGGCCCACCTCTATATCCTCCAGTCTGACCTCCCCCTTTGTTGTATCCAGTCTTCTGCTTTCCATCTTTGATAGGGTGTGTTGTAAGTTTGCCCTTGCCCCATCCAACTTGTGTGAAGCCATCATCCTCAATATGGGCAGTAAAGGATGGGCCTGGATCATTTGGGTTTTGGGCCACACCATCTGAACTATCTTTTCCTTTTCCTTTGTTTCCAGCAATGTTGTTCACTTCATCTTTCCCATTTTCCTTCCCATTCAGTGGTTGTTGTTGTGCTTCTGTAAGCATTATGGTTTTGAGGGTTTCAGAGGTTCCTCATGCAGAAGACATTATAAACTTCTTCAAGCTATGTTGTCCAAATAAGCCAGAACAGCCTCTTAAGAAGCAGTCCAATAATAAACCTTTAACCAAAAGCCAAAAGAAAAAGTCTAAGAAGAGACTTAAGAAGAAGATGGGTTCAGGGCTCGAAAGGGAAGAATCAGAATAATCAAGTTGGTCCTTTAGTAGTCTTATACTACTACGGGAATCGGTGATATAGCTGGGTTTCTTTACCCATATGGTGCTTGTTTCTTCATTGGTCTTAAGGTTGGATTCGTTTGTTTTTTTTTTTGAAGATCACTATTCCTCTACAGGAGCTAGGCCGGGCTTAGAAATATTTTGAGTTTGATCCTGCCACTGCTAGCCAATAAGAGGATAAATTTTGGGAGATGTTTGGTATTATGTTTGCATTCATATGTCTTCTTGCAGCTCTCCAGATGGATAAAGACAATGACTTAGCCTAAAGTTCACTCAGTAATATGGCCTACTTGACTGCAATTTTTCAAAGCTATTCTCTCGTAGTTTCTTTACAACCTGTGCCTCTTTTGCTCTCTTATTTTGGATATTGTCCTGATTCCATTTTGGAATTTTTGCTTTATTCTATTTTCGTTTGGGCCGACTTGTTTGGGCTAGGGCCACCCACTCCTTTGTATTTTCTTTTTTTGGTCTAATAATATATATATATATATATATATATATATATATATATATATATATATATATATATATATATATATATATATATATCATAAAAGAAGAGAGTAAAAATGTTTGAATTGGGAAAGGATATTATCATTAAAACCAATGTTTCATTTGCATACTTAAATTTATTCAAAGATTTCATACCAAAATATTGAATTCACATTTTTTATATTTTTAATTAAGGGGCATATTAGACTATTAGCTACATAAAAATAATTTTCTTTTCTTTTTATTCAGTTCATAAATTGGGTTGCATAAAAAAACGACATAAGTAATGACACATGTCAGCTTTTAGTAATGCCACATGTCAGCTCCTAGCAATGCCACATGTCATCTTCTTAGAGCTTGGAATCTTATTTATATATATAAAGGATTGAGTTATGTTTTCTTATTATGAATGCATGTCTAGATCTCTCATTATGAGTAGCTTAACTATTTAGGGATGTGATTCGTGGTAGGGTGATGGTCATTTTTGGGTAAAATTATTGTGTTGGAATTTTTATTAAAGTGAAATTACTATTTGTCATTATCATGAGATTTTATTGTGATTAATAGATCGAAAGATTATTTCTCTAAAAAATTACATTCTTTAAGAAATCTGGAATTTAATTAAGTCAAATCCTTTAATATTGGAAATTGATCTTTAGAAATAGGATTAATTATTGAGTAAATACTTAACGAATATTTACTCGCTTTTTAAAAGATTTGAAGTAAAAGTAAATCCATGTAATAAAAAGTAACCCTTACAAAGCCATCACCCGATCAAGAAGTATATCCCTGTCTTTTTAATACTGAAAAGTTAAACAATTCATCACTTGATTTTTGGTTATTTGAAAACTTTTTGAGTCAACAAGTAAATCTTGCCTAACCAGCAAAAAACTGCTGCTGGGTACCTCATGTTTTGTTGTAAGAACTGCCAGGTACCTCTATTTTTCAAAATATACTCTCAAGTACCCTAGATTTTGAAAAAATATACTAAGGGGAGATTTTCCGTCCCCTTTCCGTCTTTCCCCCTTTCTCCGTTACATTAATGCACCATCATCACCATCCATCATCCATCATCATCATCATTACACCACCACCATCCTCATTCCTTCGTTCTTCCTCTTCTTTTCCTCTTCTTCTTCTTCTTCTTCTTCTTCTTCTTCTTCTTCTTCTTCTT